GATGCAGAAGGTCCCCTTTGAGGAGCGAAGGCTCCAGCCTTACACCAGGTTCTTAAACCTGGGGCACCAGCGCCAGGAAGGAGCTCCCATAACATCTGCCTGTGAAAACCAGCAAGAACTGCTTCTGAGTAAGAAAGTGGGCTGATGAAGACCAAAGCATCCTCTTAAAGGGCTTGAGCACAAACTCCCTTACTCATAAACTCACTTACCCTGGGGTCCAACACCCAGGCAGCAACTCACAAAGTACCAGAGACATAGAGGAAAGCATTAAACTGACTAGACTCAGGGCAAAGGCTGGAAGGGCAGAGGTAAAAGCAACTCTCTCCTGAGAAGGATGAACTGGCAGGTGCCAAATTTGGGCTCTCCACTGACATAGCTAAAACTGTTCACTCAGCACTGGTGATTCCTTGAGAGCCCGTCCCACCCAAAAGGTCACTTGCAGAGGCCTTTTCACACCAGCAGCCAGCCTCAGCTAGTGCTGAGGACTCTCCTAAAATCTTTCAGAGGTCCAAAAATACCAGACAGTGGCTGGCCTCAGTATGGCCTGTACCTCTTGCTAAGCAGGCCCAAGCCTGGCACAAGCAATGACAAGTCTCAACTTGCACTGTAACTCCCGTAAGGTGGCCCCCAACCTGGCAAATTAAGGACCTAATTTGCCACAAACTCACACTGCGGAGCCCACCAAAGGGCCCCAAGGCTGACATTAGTGGCAGTTCACCTTGGCTCACAGCATAGCCTCTCCCAAGTGCCTCCAAGCCCAGCACAAGCAGAAACCACCACAGATTACTTTTAACTCCCACCAGGTGGCCCTGACCTGGGCACAAAGGGCAGCTGAACTGACCCTTCTTAAGAAGCTCCAGAACCAACATATCCCGTGGCTGGCTTCAGATGACACCAGAGAACTGCACCACAGACAACACACCTGAAAGGCAGACTTAATTGGCACCAGAGCCACAGTAAAATGACTCCTACTTCATGCAGCCAGATCCCACACAACAGCTTGTCTGCTGCAATCATGGACAGCCCTCACAGCCAGTCAGCCTGAAGGTCCATCCTACCCACTGCTGTGTCAACAGCAACCAAGGGTCAACTGCAAAAGAAGGGAACACACAACTCACACAGGGGACAAGGGACATCCCTGGAGCACCTGACTCAGGTGATAAGAAGACTTCACCACTGGGTCTCACAGGACAAACTATATAAAGCCACACTGCCAAGAGTGGGAGATTTAGGAGATCTACCTAATATATAGAAAGAAACACAGGGAATCACCCAAAATGAGACGAAGAAAAATGTTCCAAAAGAAAGAACTGAACAAAACTTCAGAAAAAAAATTAAAGAAAATGGAGATAAGCAATGTACCAAATATATAGTTCAAAACACTGAAAAACTGGTTATAAAGATGATCAATAACTTAGGAGAAAAACAGATGAACTCAGTGAGAACTTCAACAATGAGACAGAAACCATAAAAAACACCCAGTCAAAAACGAAGAACACAGTAAAAGTGAAAAATACATTAGAGGGAACCATCAGAATAGATGAAGCAGAGGATCAAATCAGCCAACTGGAAGACAAAGTAGCAAAAAAACACCCAAGTGAAACAGCAAAAGAATAAGGAATCCACCGCTGACCCGTGTGACTCTGTTGGTTGAGCGTCACCCTGTGTGGCAAAAGGTTGCCAGCTGGAATCACGGTACGAGGACAGGTCTGGGTTGCAGGTTCAGTCCCTGGTCTGGGCACACACAGGTGGCAACTGATCGATGTTTCTCTCTCTCACATTGATATTTCTCTTCTACTCTTTCTCCCCTCCTCTCCTCTCTAAAAATAAACAAATAAGCCCTGGCTGGTGTGGCTGAGTATATTGAGTTCTGACCTACGAAGCAAGGGGTGGCTGGTTTGATTCCCAGTCAGACCACATGCTTGGGTAACAGGCCAGGTCCCCAATACGGGGTGCGTAAGAGACAACCACACACTGATGATTCTCTCCCTCCCTTCCCCTCTAAAAATAAATAAATAAAATCTTTAAAAAAAAAAAGTAAAATCTAGAAAGAAAGAAAGAAAGAAAGGAAGGAAGGAAGGAAGGAAGGAAGGAAGGAAGGAAGGAAAGAAAGGAAAGAAAGGAAAGAAAGGAAAGAAAGAAAAGAAAGGAGAGAAAGAAAGAAAAGAGAAGAAACAAAACGAAACGGAATCCAAAAAAAGTGAACATAATTTAAGAGACCTCTGGGACAACATTAAGTAAACCAACATTCACATGATATGGCTGCCAGAGAGAGATCAAGGGATTGAAAACCCATCTGAGGAAATAATGACCAAAAAATCTAAGATGGCTGCAGAGTGGCTGGAAGCTCTATCCACTTGCTCCCAGGTCCAGACTGACCTTGCAGCTAAACCACAGAGCAATAAACTCAAAAATCCAGCTGAGTGAGAGTGAGTGTGAGCGAGCATGTACACAGGTGAGTGTGTGGGCGCATGTGAAAGTGTGGCCCGGGCTCTCCTGGTGGAGCAGCTGCCACTGCTGCTGCCCAGCTTGGTGCCTCTGGTGGTGCAGATTGGGGGAAGGAGCCATTTTGAGGAATTTTAAAATATCAAGGAACATATATATAAAGGACCCACGGACATATACAAAGGAGGGTAGGATTGAATGTGGGAGGTGAGGGGTGGGTAGGGCAGGGGAGAGTAATGGGGGGGGATGGGGACAACTATAATTGGACAATAAAAAAAAGAGTTCAAGAAGAAAAAAAAAACATGTGTATCCTGATTTGACCCATTATTAACAATGAAAATATCTGTAAATTGAAAAAAAAAAAGACTAAAAACCATCCTACCCAGGAAGAAGCCTCGGAGAGCCTGCACCTTGGTGCCCAGACTTTTCTCAGTACCCTCTGCCCCAGGCAGGGCTGTGCATCCCGCTGCTGCCAAAAGCCAGGATCTGGGGACTGTGGTACTTACCGGGGAGGGAGCTGTCACCTCCCTGACCCAAGGCACCAAGGCAGAGTAGGCTGGAGGCAGGGACCACCCAGGGAGCTCAGTGGTGCAGCTGCAGCGGCTTGGCAGCAGGAGCCCAGCTCCGTGGCAGAAGCTCGAGGCCGACTCACTGGAGGGAAGTGGTGCAAGCGCCTCAGCCACAGCTCAATGCTGTAATACAGCGGCTGCGCTCTTCCTTCCCCCGCCCCATCAGGATGATGTAAGACTTGAAAGAAGATGATGCATACGGGATATAATCTATTAATTTAGGAGAGAGGGAAGAGGCCTGGGTGTGAGAGAAAAGGGTGGATAGGTGGCTTCTGGACAGGACAGCTGTCACAATACAATCTAACAAAATAGTTTCAAATGAAGTTAAAGACAACTAAGTGCTACTAGAGTCACTGTACAGAAAAACCGTAACAGACTTTTTGGCCAACCCAGTGTATACATACATGCTAAGCTTTTTATCAAATTTCAAGGAGCTGATGGATACTCTGAAGTCCATCCAAAAGGCTCAATGGTAACTGAAATCTAGAGGTTAATATAAAGTTAATGTAAGAGAATATTCAGTGTGAGGAGCGAGTGGCCTAGACCTGAACTTTAATAAAAACTAACATTTACAGAACAAAAAATAAACAATAAAAAAAAAAGGTGCAGCCTGTCAGGGAGATCAAGAATAAGCAGCCTGAGGAGTCAAAGGAAAAACAGGAAGCTGTGGTGGAAGAGATGCCAAGGGAAGAATGAAGGAGGAGAACCAGTGAAGAGTGTCAACTGCTGTTGTCAGTCACGAAAATGAAGGTCACTGTTGTCCCTGATTAGGTTGGAGTCAGGATAGCTGTGGGGACAGAAACCAGCTCGCATCAGGTGAAAGAATGAGTGAGAATTAAAATTTATTTTAAGAAGCGTGGCTACAAAGAAGAGTCGCTAAAAAATAAAAACAAACAAAAACCTTTTTAAAGATGGGAGAGACATTTGTATGTTTCAGTGCCCATGGAGATTTGCATGTTTTGGTAGAGATTACTAAAGACACAGGAAGAAAGGGGATAAGTGATACTAAGGTTCCTGATGATGCTAAAAAAGGATGGATGAGTTGGGATCCAATGCGCAGGTGGAAGGTTTCACCCAAGCTGTAACCGATTCCTCACTCATTTTAACAGAGGAAACGAGGTGGGATTCCTTGCCCGTTGGCTTCTTTTTCTCTTTGAAATTGAATGCATATTCCTTAAAGAAAAAGATCAAGCATTGCTTTCTTTTTAGTCCTCTGTGGCAGAGTGCAGTATCATGCATATAGGAAATATCTAACAAATACTGGAGAAAAAAGCTATAATTCTACAGAAAGCCCACCCTCATCACTACAATTAATAAAACTGCTAATTATGACCCAACAGTCCAGTTTTCCACATAAATGAGGCATTGCCAATGATTCACCAATCCCAAGCCTTCAAAGCACTGGCATTCAAGCAATTAACTCAACGTAGTTACACCAGACAGAACAGTTTCAGGACAGGTGATAAGAGGTTTATCTTAGGAGAGTCTCCAGTTTAAAAAAGGGGCACTCACAAAGTATTTATTCTTTCAACTATCAGCCTAACAATAAAAAGCTGGGACTCCGCTAGAAATGACCAAGATGAGGAGGCTCTTCTGAAAGAACAATATAGAACATAGATGGGTATTTCCCAGCTACAGTGATGGCAATGAAAAAAATTCAGAGATCTCCAACCATCATTAAAAAAAGGAAAAAAAAGAAACACAGAATGAATTAAAATAATAAAACAAATGACAGAACCACATGTAGGTAAGGTAAGAATTGTTTCATGAAACTTCATATGCATATCAACAAAATATTAAAATTTATTTCTTATTGTGTTAGAGCAGTGAAAAAATATTTAAAGTTACTGACATGAAACAGAAAGATAAAAGCTATAAAGCAACTGTTTCTATTCAGCTATAAAATTATACAGCTATAAAATGCTGTCTTCCCATACATACAAAAAGTAAATATGTCTAGTCACACATATTCTTATATAGGCACACCTTGAAGATACTGCAGGTTTGTTCCAGACAACCTCCATAAAGTGAGTACTCCATTAAAGCAAGTTGTAACTGTTGGTGGAGGGTCTTGCCTTAAATCTGAAAAAAAAAAAAAGAAAAAAAAAAGAAACATTTGTGAAGCATAATAAAGCAAGGCATAATAAAGTGAAGCACAATAAAACAAGATATGCCTGTATTGCTCAAGAGCACTCACCTACCTTCTTATGCAAATATGCACATGATAAACCTGGAGGGAGAACTCAGTTTTTCACGATTCAATTTTCCTTCTAAAGTACTTAGATTTCAACATCCTGGTCCTCCTAAAATCAGTTATGTATTCCAACATCTAAGCTACTTTTTTTCAAATACTCTCAAATCACTCATCTAAAGAAAAAGGTCCCTGAAGTAGAGATAAAAATATTTAGTTACAAATATGAATAAAGTTTCCCCTTTTATTTACTAAATAATATTCTACTGAACTCCATCCACCATATAATCCCAATTTCCTCACACCTCATCATATACATAATCTTACATTACATCTAAAGATCTAAGCAAATGTTCTCAAAGTATGGTCACCAGACATGGGATCCTTAAGATCCTTTGCAAGGGTCTGTGAGGTCAAAACTCTCTTCAGCACTAAGGTACTATTTGCCTGTACGCTCTCGGACATTTGTACCAAGGGTAAAAACCAAGGGTAAGTCTCCTGAGTCTCGGCAAGCACGCATAAAGCACTTCTTATTTATGCACACGAAGTATGACGTGTGTCTGGAAGAAAAGCAATTGTGTGATTACACTGCAAACTAAACTGGTTGCTTTCTTCATGGAATATTATTTTTACATGAAAGAATACCTACAAATGATAGTCATTCAGACTTAGACAACTTCCCAAAAGTGAGCAAGGTAAACCTGCCACTTCCAGCAAACAACTGATGGTATTAGCTGCCTATGATAAAATGTCAGCTTTCAAGTGAAAATTAAAATTGTGGAGATCTTAGACGGTGTTCCAATACTTAAAGATGTTTCTCATGACGTCACTGGTGATGTTAAATAATGCGATTTTAAAATATGATGTAATGAAATTTATCAACATTTGGAAGACATGCATAACTCAATAAACCAATACCATCACATAATCAATGAATTAATACGATATATAAATACTTTTAAATATTCTCAGTTTTAACTTCTAATGCAGTAAATACTGATAAACCCATAAACAAAAGCCCTATGGGATTATTAATAATTTGGAAGAGTGTAAAGGGGTTCTCAGACCAAAAGCTTTGAGAACCAGTAATCTAAGTTATTGCTATGCAATAAAGGAATGGAAATCAACTTAAGGACATTTCTAAGTCACATAATTCTTTTTTCCTCTTTATCCGCTGTTTCTCCAACACAGTTTCAGCCTCCCTGTCAGTTAAGAGCTGACCAACTGGCTTTTCTATGTGTATAGGATGGTGGGGGCGGGGGGGGGAGATAGAGAAGAGAATACAATAAAAAATCGGTTTTACCAGTAGGAAGGAGCCGAAGTCTGCTAAAAACTAATTCTGAATCTGCCCTTCCTCTATGCCTCAGTTGGGCACAAACCGTTAGGAAACTCCAGACATGATCGACCAGAAGAACCAGGGCAGAATTCCGAAGAATACCGACAGATGGGAGTGAGTATAAGAGGCAGTCAAGGAAAATTGAGAGCGCAACGGGCAGCTGGGGGAAATTTTGCCAAAATCCTGGGTTTTCCTGCAATTCCCCCATTTCTTCCATAAGGCTCCCGAGTAAAAGGGGTCAAAGGAGGACTTGCAGGGACCGCTCCAGGGTTGGGGGTGGGACCCTCTTGTTAAGCCCCATCCCCGCCAGAGTCCTTTCAGTAGCAGTCCCCTGGCTCCCAGGCTCCCCGGCTCCCCTCTCGCACACCCCTACACAACCCAGCGCCCACGACCCCGCGGTTCCTCACCAACTGGTTCCAGTCCTTCACGAGATGCCGCTTCCAGAGGATCTCTGACCTCAAATATCCATGTTACCCAAGTTTCAGCTCGATTTTGCCTCTCCAGCTCCACCCGCTAAGCCTCACTCAGCCTCAGGCGGCGAACCCACCAAAAAAAGGAAACCCAAATACTGGAAGAAAACACAAACACGGGCTGCTTCCGGCGGCAGCTAAGGTGAGCAATAGGAAAGAGAGCTCTTCAAGGCGCCTTTTGTTGACGGAGGGGCCTTGGATTAGCGGCCCCTGGCGGCGCCGTCCGGCAGTGCGCCTGTACTTCCCACTACTACACAAATGGACTGAAACACCTATCTTCTGAATTGTGTGTAGGTCGACACACTTCATTTTTAATGATTTTGTCATACCTTCTTGTACCTGCTAGTCTAGTTCAGGTCCAAAAACCTCCTCGCAGAACACTTCAATTATGCTAAATAAGGCCAGATCCTTAATTATTCTACCAGAAGTTCACATCAGAGTTTCTGAAGTTCCTTGCTTGCCAAAATTGATGTCCTAGACCTAGAGAGTGAGAAAAACCTAAACAATACTACAAGCTCATTAGTACAAAGTAAAAGAGCAATGTCCATTGCTAGCCTGTTAAATTCCCTGTAAAGTTAAGCATCTGCACCCAATTTGTCTTTCCTTTCTCAGTTCTAGATTGTTTACATCTTAGTGATTGAACATTTACTCCAAGTTAAAGATAATCTTTTTGGTCGTGTGTTCAGCAATCAAGATTTTCAGGACATGATTGGAGACATAGTCAGAAATTATTTCGTTTTTAGTCCAATCCAAGAAGAAAAATAAACTGGAGAAAAATCACATAAGAGATTTTAATTAAAAAGACCCCAAACACTGTTTACAATGCATTTATTTTTGGTTGTATGCCCTTGAATATTTTTTTAATTCTACTGATAGTCACTGAACAATATTTGACATGTTAGTTTTTCCCACTCAAAGAAAGAAATATCATTCTCAGTCAATTGATAATGGGCAAGATGGCTTATCAAAATAAAAGAGAATTGTTCAGTTCAATTTAAGTTTTTTATTACATACGTGTGTGTTGGTTATGTTACACCTAAAAGATATCTGACTTTGCCAGAAATAAATTGTTGAGTTAACTCTCTCTGCCCTAAGATGATTTGTTAATTTTTAGGGTTTTTGAAAGCTTAACATACTTTACAAAGAAAAGGTTCTTGAGCTAATAAACATGGTGACATTCTTACATGAATATCTGTTTCCTGAGTCACTCACAATTCAATAAGCAAATAATCATTTATTAGGGTTTTCCTGATTTAGGGATTAGCAATTATGACACAAAAACCTGAAAGGTTGACACAAAGGATAGTAACAGGGAAGTCTACAAGGACGCAAAGGAACAGCTGGCCCGCTGGGATAAAATTAGTGTAAACCAGAGAAATTACTACATACCATAAGCAGGCTCCTATTAAATTTCAGGATCTCATTGATTTTGATGTTTATGTAAACATGTGAATTAAATCTTGATTAAGACCTGAGATGGAAAACATAACAGAGGTGAGTACCTGAACAAACAAAATAATGAGTAAGTTTTTCAATACAGAAGGGGGTAAAAAATGACCAGGAGAGTTTAGAAACACTCAAGAAAACCAATGAATCCTGACTCTAAAGGAAAATGTATTCATTTAAAAAATATGTATCCTATTTCATCAAAATAAAATTTAAAGTGAAATACTGCAAACAACCCAGATGTCCTAAATAGGAAAATTGTTAAATAAGTTATAGTTTATGCATAAAACCAAATAATGTGAAACATTGAAAACCATGTTTCAAAAATATTCAATGATATGAGAGTGCTCATGACATGAAAGTTAGTTAAAAGAAGAATTAATGAAACTAGAAATAGAGCATGTAATCTGTATTTGGTAAGAAAAGCATATAAACCTAGAAAAATTATTTAAAGGAGACATAAAAATACCAAGTCGTTATCTGTCAATGGTACTACCTGGGATTCTTTTCTTCAGTTTGTACCACAATTTGGTACAAATTCCATAATTCAGAAAAAAACATCCAGATAGCAGTCATTTTCTGTTTTATTAAGTTATTGTTGAAATTTTTCATAGATTTTCTAGCATGATTACTTTAGAAACTGTGTACATAAATTTTAAATAATGCCAGTAAAAGAAAGCAAAGGATTAGACAAAGTATATATTTTAAAATCTTTATAATTATTCAATCAATGTTTAAATATTTTTTTATGAGCTCTGTATTGCCTTAGATGCTATAGCCTAAATCAAATATAAAAAAACAGTTCTACCCTTGAGGACATTACTGGTTAACTTGAGAATCAAGAAATAGGTCCTGAAAAGGTAAATTAGGTAAGATAAATATGATTTAATAGCATATATTGGGCAATAATAACATATTCACAGAAATTAAAGACCAGTGATTTTTCAAAAGAAGAAATAGTAAGAATCAATATATGATCGATAAGATTATTCTTTTCTTGGAGAAACTCATCCTAAGAGATTATTTGTCATTTCCTGACACTGGAGGAAATACCACACATTTATTCAAGATGGTCTTGGTTTGTTTTGCTGCTATCCTAAAAGATAGAATGTAATATGGTTTTTCTGTTTGTTTGTTTTTCTTTTCTTTTTGGAAAAAAAAAACACAACTATATGATCTAATACATGGCCTCAATCTTCAGAATAACCAGGAGGACTTTTTGCACCCAGACTGCTGGTCCTGATTCCCAGAATATCTCTCTCATTCAGGAGTTTGGGAGTGGGGCCCAAGAATCTGCTTTTTGATCAAGTTCCCAAATGAGGTGGCTGCTGTTGATTCAGGGGCCACACATTCTGAGAACCAATGATCTAATACACTGTTCTGAAGTCTCTCTGGGAGAAAAAAAAGTTGGGTGAGTCAGAAACTCAATCTGTATGGAGTCTTTTTTTTCTTTTTATTATTATTATTTTTAATATCTATTTTATTGATTCTGCTATTACAGTTGTCTCTTTTTTTCCTCCTCTTTATTCCCCTACACCCTGCACTGCCCTTCCCCCCAGCATTCCCCTCATCTTAGTTCCTATCTGTGGGTTGTACACGTCAGCTCTTTGGCTTCTCCATTTCCTATACTATTTTTAACTTTTCCCTGCCTATTTTGTACCTACTATTTATGCTGCTTATTCCCTGTACCTTTCCCCCATTCTTCCCCCTCTACTCCCTCTGATCTCCATTTCTATGATTCTGTTCCTATTCTAGGTGTTTGCTTAGTTTGTTTTTGTTTATATTTTTTGTTTGTTTTTAGGTTCAGTTGTTGACAGTTGTGAATTTGTTGTCATTTTACTGTCCATAGTTTTTGATCTTCTTCTTTTTCTTAGATAAGTCCCTTTAACCTTTCATACAATAAGGGCTTGGTGATGATGAACTCCTTTAACTTGACCTTATCTGGGAAGTACTTTATCTGTCCTTCCATTCTAAATGATAACTTTGCTGGATAGAATAATCTTAGATGTAGGTCCTTGCCTTTCATGACTTTGCTTCTTTCCAGCCCCTTCTTGCCTGCAAGGTTTCTTTTGAGAAATCAGCTGAGAGTCTTATGGGAATTCCTTTGTAGGTAACTCTCACCTTTTCTCTTGCTGCTTTTAAGATTCTCTCCTTATCTTTAATCTTGGGTATTGTAATTATGATGTGCTTTGGTGTGTGCTTCTTTAGGTCCATCTTCTTTGGGATTCTCTGAGCTTCTTGGATCTCCTGGAAGTCTATTTCCTTGGCCAAACTGGGGAAGTTCTCTTTCATTATTTTTTCAAATAAGTTTTCAATTTCTTGCTCTTCCTCTTCTCCTTCCAGAACCCCTATGATTCAGATGTTGGAACATTTAAAGTTGTCCCAGAGGTTCCTAAGCCCCTCTTCATTTTTTTGAATTCTTGTTTCTTCATTCTGTTCTGGTTGAATGTTTATCTCTTCCTTCAGCTCCAAATCCTCGATTTGAGTCCCAGTTTCCTTCCCTTTACTGTTGGTTCCCCATATATTTTTCTTTATTTCACTTTGCATAGCTTTCACTTTTTCCTCCATTTTGTGACAATATTCAACCAATTCAGTGAGCATCCAGATCACCAGCGTTTTTAACTGTGCATTTGATGGGCTGGCTATTTGTTCATCACTTAGTTCTATTTTTTGGAGCTTTGATCTGTTCTTTCATTTGGGCCATGTTTCTTTGTCTCAGTGTACCTGTTACATCCAGAGGAGCAGAGCCTTAGGTATTCACCAGGGTGGGGCAACCCAGGTCACTAAGTTGTGATGCTGTGTGTTGGGGAGGGGTCTGACTGGGAACAATACCACTTGCTCTGCTCTTGGCCAGAATTCAGTCCCTTCCCCCGCTACCCACTAGGAAATTGGGCCCTTCTAGTGCTGATTCCCAGGTGGGCGGTTTGTGTACATTCTAGGGCCCTATGGGTCTCTCCAATGGACTCCCCTGTGAGGCTGGGAGTTTATCCTGCCACCACAACCCCCACAGGTATGTACATCCAGAGGTTTTGAGGCTTTCTTTTCCCGCACTAGATACCTGGGTTGTTCAGTCTGTCTCACGCCCCAGCTGTTCCTCCCTGTTTTCCCGCACACAAATGTGGCATGGCCTGGTCCATCAGCCGCTGCCTTGTCTCACATCCTCTCACCTGGGCTGCCCATCTCTACGCCTCCTACCCAACTGGATGAATGTTTCTCCTTTAGCTCCTTGGTTGTTAGACTTCCATACAGTTCAATTTTCTGGCAGTTCTGGTTATTTTTTGTTTTTAAATTTGCCGTTGTCCTTCTTTTGGTTGTGCGAGGAGGCAAAGTGTATCTACCTATGCCTCCATCTTGGCCAGAAGTTGCTGTATGGAGTCTTGATGAACAGGAGCAAAGGGCGAGGCACATGTCTGCAGCATCATCATGGGTGCCTCTCAGGGTGCCCGCCCACTCCCAGTGACACGTCTATCAATTCCTGAATGGAGAGGGGGCAGACTCCCTTGGATCCAGCCACATTCACAGGCCTGCTTTGTGGGGTTATACCACGGGCAGGTACCAACCCAATCTGGGCCAACCAGAGGCAGTTCCCTAGAAAACTGATAACTGGAATTGAGTCAATATTACCAATATGCAGGAAATATGGAATGTGAATTTGATAGTGGTGAAGAGCCATGTTAGTGGCATGCTGGATCCAGAGAATATC